TATATGCAATCATTGGTCAATATGATGGGGCTGGCTTTGCACTTGCTTATTTGTTTATCGAGGGTGCTAAAAAAATTGATGGTGCACGAACAAGTATTTTAACTTTATTTTTCGAATCTTTATTTAAGTTGGGATTAAATAATGTTTATTTTTTTTTGACTGATAAAGACTTCGCACAAGTTTCGGCTGCTCAGAAAGTTTGGCCAAATGCCAAAATTCAAATTTGTTTTTGGCATCTTAAGAAAGCAATTAAAAAACGTCTTACTGATAATACATATCCAAAAGTTATTAATTATAGTTCATATTCAGCACACCAGGTATTTGAGTTTATTGATATCGAATTTTATCCAACACCACCATCTCAAATGACCCCAGTGCAAAAAAAAAGCTTTTGCTTTTGCCCAAAAGAACTACGACCTAAAATTCTAGACATGATAGTACAACATATGCATTTTCACTCTTTAATTCCAAATACAAGTGGAGTTTATTTAACGGCATATGAAATTTGGAAACAGTCAACGAAACAAGTTTATGAATTTTGCACATATCATGATTTAAAACTTTTGTGGATTTATTTATGGGAACATTGGTATCGTGAAGAACTTTGGGTTCTATGGTCACACTCTGCATATGATAAGATTTGTTTATTCCGTACCACAATGCTGTGTGAATCGCACTGGAAGGTCATTAAACAGGATTTTTTGCCTAAATTTTTTAGGCCACGTCTTGATTTATTAACTTATATGGGCGCTTTGCAATAGAAAGGGCGGATACTCAAATATATATAATTGAGTATAATTGAGTTTAATCGTTTTGTTTTGATTTTCGGACTGATCCGGGTTAACCAAAATTTCATGATTTTGATTGGTTAAAAACAACATGTGATTAAGGGGTATTCTCGTGATGCACTTGGCTTTAGGAAGCCCCTTGCAATTTTTATTCTACATTATCTCGACCTTTTATTATGCAAGTCGACCTTCATTTATAATAGAAAAATGTTGACCACGTCGAAATATACCCAAATCTAATAAAAACTCATTTTTCATTTTTGGGGTAGTTTCCGCCCTTTCTACTGCAAAGTGCCCATATAATCTATTTTACCAAATTTAATATAGAACAAACTCTTTCCGTAAATCCTTTACACAAACTTAAATAAAATTCGTCCATCACAAAACTGCTAATATCTCAATAATTTATTAAGAAAACAGACCTTTGCATCTTAAGTAAAATTGCTCCTCTCATAATTTTACATATACTATAGAAGTTTCAAGGCTTTAGCCTGAAAACTCGTAGTTTTATACTACAAAACGTCTTTTGGTTTCTTTAAACCAAACTTTTGCTTATTTCTTGAAAACTGTCTTCACAACAACCCCTGGACCTTAAGAGGAAGTTGTAGAGCTCATCATTCCGGTCGAAACAAGCTCTAAATGAAGATTTTTAACCTAATATTGACCGAGTTATAACAAAAATAATCTTTACTCCTTTTTAAACTCCTTGCAAAAAATTTTTTGTCTTTACCCCACTTTTCCCCTTCAATTCGTTTTTCGTGTAACCTAAAATCACTTCTAAAAATAGTCTAAATTAAATTTACTTGGTGTAAATTAATATTTCCTTAAACAGTATTATTTATTTAGTATAAATCCATTGGTTCTTTAATTTAAACACAAACTTTATACTATTACACAATATTTTACACAACGTGTAACTAATTTTGTACCACATTTGCCACACCAGCCACACCAGCCACACTAGCCACATTGTGTCACCTTAGAATACCTAGGTTACACAAGGTTACACAAGCCGCAGCAGCCGCAGTAATACCCCTGAAAAACACCATACCCCCGTTTTAATATCTATTTAACTATTATATTAAATAACTCCAAATTTTACTAAGGAAAGTGAATTCGCGCTCTTAAGCAAACATAAAACTAGGACCATATACTCTCTATACCAACACTCCGTACATCAAACAACACAATGCCTACTTCTGTAGATCAAACTCCAGATACTTTAGATCTCGATTACTTTTATACTCATTATGCCGGATCTTTCGGTATAGCAATCTACGAAGAAGAACCTAACAAAATCAATGCTATTCCTACCGAATTTCACCCTGTTACCTGTTATACCAAGAACCTCAGAAACCACAAAATAACACACTTCTTACCAGTCCCACCAACTACTCAGATAGTTACATGTCTATGCGGTAGTTTTCATACCAACTTTGAATCCGAAAAAAACCAAACCTACAATATTCAAGTAACGGCTAGCCCCGCAACATCTAATAGACAAGCAAAAAAACTTCTTAACATGTTACAAACATCAACTCAAACAGTTCCAGCCTCTCCAACTCCTATTCCTGAACAACATACATGCCCTAAATGCTGGGGTATAATAACTTGCAAGAAAATTAATAATATCCATCACCTTGCAAATGATGCTTTGTTCCACAACAACGAAGCATATCACATTACTTGCCTTAATCTACTCCAAGAAGAACAGAAACTGAACACACCATCAACTACAACCACCAATCCTCTTGACATATTACTTCCACTTACATCAACTCCTGACAATACACAAACAACAGAAATGGAAACAGATGAACCAGTATCCTCTTCATCTTCCTCTTCTACAAAACAACTTCCTCCTAAACAAACAACTTCAATTAACCGTCAATCTAATGAACAAAATCAAACCAATATCAAGCCTAAGTCAAACCCAGCCTTCGATTGGCTTGCAAATTATCCAATTACAGATGAAATGGAGCCTAATAAGAGGCTTCAAACAACACTCTCTCATCAACTACTCGCTTTTCTTAAAAAATTCTTATATAACTTCTATCCCGGCAAAGAAATTAAACCAGCAAGAGTAAACCAACAAGGCCACATAATTAGACCTGCTATGAAAGCAAACTTCCAATACCTCATTCGCACAATGGCAGCAGACAAACC